ATTCAAGGCTCCTTTTATTTTAGGCAATTATAAATTCTAATTTTATTAAATATAATGATAGAAATTATAAATATAGAGAATTATAAATAATGATAAATAATGTAAAAAATGGTAATGATAGTAATTTGATGAATCATAAATATTATATATGTATTAATGATAATAATTTAATGAATTATAAATATTATAATGAATTATAAGAATAAATACAAAATTATATTAATTACAAAATATTTTTAAGCATTAAGCTATTAACAAAGTTAGTCAGCTAATTGAAATTAGTCTGCTAATTGAAAGCAAGATACACAGTTCTGATGATGAAATTTTATCTGACAATAACAATGGTAATAGTTTTTGTATTTAAATTTATAAGTTTTTAGGATTTAGTATTTTTTATAAAGTTTATAGTTGTTGTTATAGTTATTGAATCCAGACACAAACATGGGCACAAAAAACACTACTGTCTTTATTGTGAAAAACTTCTCTCAAAAATCCCAAGGCATTTAGAACATATTCATAAGCATGAAGAACTTGTTATAGAAGCCCTTCATTATCCAAAAAAAAGTAAAGAGCGAAGAAATATGTGGACTTATATAGAGAGGAAAGGTGATTTTAATGTAAATATAAATAACATTAAAAATTCTAAAAAAATAACATCTGTAAGAAAATGTACAGTCAACAAAGATGATGAGCTATTGCCTTGTGAATATTGTTATGGTTTTTTCAGAGCAAGGAAACTTTGTGAACATGTTTCAAAGTGTTTTAGGCGTGGTAGTGATAACAAGGAAATAAGTTATATAAAAGCTTCTTGAATATTAGTAGGCCAATCCAGTTTGACCGACAATGCTAAAATTGTACATGAGCATATACTTACAACTATGAAACATGATAAACTTCACCTTGTTATTCGCAATGATAAGTTATTATTGACCTATGGAGCAGTTGAAGTTGGTAAAAAAGAAAGAGATTGTTACCATGATGTAGGCTATGCACTTCGAGTTTTAGCTCAAAGATTTAGTCAATACAAAAAACTATGATAACATTGTTTCTTCTATGAAAGTTTGTGCAGATTATTGTGGACCAAGAAAAATTGGAAATCCTCATCTTGTTTTAAGAATAGGATATTCATTAAAAACTTTAGCTATAATAGTCAAATTAGAGTACCTGAAATTAGGATTACAAGACATGGTTGAAAACATTCGAAATTTTTTAGAGCTATTGGAATCAGACTACAGTATTTTTTTAAACAATGCACGTAGTGTATATGATTTACGAAAAGCCAATGCACCAGATATGTTGCCAGAAGAAAGTGACATTAAAGTTTTAAGAAATTATTGTGTTAGTGAAATCAGCAAGTATTTAAACAATACAATTCTTACATCTAATGAATATATACATTTGTGTAAACTTACTTATGTAAGAATACTAACATTTAATGCTAGGCGAGGTGGAGAACCTGGAAAGTTAACATTAGCAGATTGGGATATGGTAGAAAAAGGCAGGTGGAAACGCCAAACTGACATAGATGCTTTAGATGATCCGATAGAAAAAAAGCTTGCAGAGCGATTTAAACTATGTTACATTGAAGGCAAAAAAAAACGGAGTGGTATGGAATTTTGTTTTTTATTCACTTATTAAAAATTTAATGACATCTTATTTTATATATTTTTCTTATCAGATATTGAGAAATTTTTGTATTCAGAAATAAAATTTTAAATGCTTTTTTCATGCTGTATATGTTATTAAATTAGGTTCTTCTGTAAAAGCATTAGTTCCGATTATTTTTACTGAGGAATTTGTTGGTGCAATCAGACTATTAATCAGCTCAAGGCAAAATGCTAATATTTCTCAAAAAAATAATTATGTGTTTGCCCGTGGTGCAGGCTGTTTTAAACTACGTGGTTGGGACGCGCTACAATCTTTAACAAAAAAGCTTAATTTATCGAAGCCAAAGCTTATTACGCCAACTAGAACTAGAAAGTATTTGGCAACCATTCTGCAGTTGTTAGACATGAATAATGCTGAGCTTTTGTGGCTCACAAATCACATGGGGCATACTAAAAATGTTCATCAAAATTGGTATCGACGTGAGGATTCTACTATCGAATTAACAAAAGTAGCAAAAGTTCTTCTTGCTATGGATAATGGCGATGCAAGGTGCATTCAAAATAAGAAAATCGATTCACTATTACAAAATAGTTTTGAAGGAATTGGTTTGTTTTTTTTACTTAACTTTTTTTATTTGACTTTATTTTTCTGCATATAAATGTTGGTTACCTGTCATAAAATTTTTTATAGGTGAGTTAAGGTGAGTATTAAGTTTTTAGTATGTGAGTATTAAGTATTTAGTTAAGGTGATCATTTGCAAAACGCCTTAAGTTTAAGTTAACTCATTTAAAGAATGTAATGAAAAACTACCCTTAGCATCAATAGAAACTGATATTTTCTTTTTCCAGTTTTAAGCCATCAAGTTTTTTTTTTTTCAGTCCAATATTTAGATTTTAAAATTTCAGTAGAATGTGGAAATGCAATTAACTTACAATTTTTGTGACTTTTTACCATTTTTTGTGAAATTTTGTGCAGGCACCTCATGTTTTGTCTTAAATATCCCGTTTTGTAAAAGTCTTTTTGAATGCTAAAAATCCTTGTTATAAATCTGTTTTTAACTGCTTAGTGTCGTTTTATATTACAAATATAAATAAAATGAATAATAAAGCTTTTAAGACAAACAGGTGTGGAAAAATAGGTGTATAACAGCACCCACAAATGTGTTTTAAAACAATTTTGATTTTAAAACAAATGTTTAACGTTGATTCATGTAATGGTTAAAAAACAGGTAATGCCCTTTATTCAAATCTTTAAATTGTTGCAGTTGTAACCATTTATTCGTTATTGGTTATAGGGATATCAAATGTTAATACAGGAGAAAGTGCTAATGTTTGCACTTATTCAGATGAAGATGTTGGAGATGCAAATAGCAATGTTTTGGATGAAAATACCAATGTCATTGAAAATGAATTAATTAATGTCGAACGTAAAAGAATACAAAATAAAAGATTAAACATGCACAAAGAGGTTATCTTTTGAAATTAAATTAACTTTGCTTTTCTCTTTAAAAAGAAAAATTTGTTTCAAAATTATAAACAAATCTTTAGTATTTGAATTTTTGTTGTTCCTTATTATTTAGTGTTCTTATTTAGTCAAAAAAAACTTGGAAAGGTTGGTCGGAAGAAGAAAACGCATCACTTCGTAAAGCGTTTTCGATATATATCGCGAGAAAGATTCCGTGTCCGCTTCTTGATGTTAAAAAAATTATTGAAAGTATACCTTGTCTTCGAAGAAGAGGGCATAAGATTGTTAAAGACAGACTAAACAATATTATTAGGAAGAGATGATTTATGCGTTTTTATTTATATACAAATAATGGTGTTTTGAAGTAGTTATGTTGAAATCAAGTTTATTAACGTTGATTAAATTTTATATAATTATTTCAAGTGTATTATAATTTTAAGTGTGTATAAAAAAGATCAGTGTAATATTTTTATAATGAATACATATCAAATAGCAAAAAATATTTTTTTACTTTGTTTTTATGCATATTTTAGATTTCTCTAATAATTCACCGAAAAAAGATGTTTTGCGAGTAAATCCAACTTTTATCTTAAAAAAAGAATAAAAAAGATTCAATAACATTGTTATAATGATTTTAATTTATCAACCTCTCAAAAAAAAAACTAAAATCATAAAACAATTACAAAACGCTCGATACGAGAAAAAAAGTCATTGGCATTACAATTGTCATAATTTTTTTAATGTGATTTTCTAAACAATAGAAAAAGTCGCGTTTAAAGAACGCGAGAAAATGCGCGTGTATGTAAATCGTGTAAGCTAATAACTTTATAGTGGAGCAATAGTGGACTACTATCTCAGAATATAACACGGTATCTTAAGCATCTAAATGTATTTGGCATTATATTTGCAAAATAAAACAACATTTTTTTAGAGTCCCGATAATGGTGAGTTTTCTAGTTTTTTAGTGTAAGCTGAATGTTCGTGTAAAGCCCCATTATTGAGACTTTAAAAAGAATAGTGCCACTCATCGAAATACATCAAAGTAACATAGTTTTTGGTGTTATTTTTATCGGGACTTAAAAATGTCCCGACAAAAAAAAAAGTCCTCGTAAAAGGTCAGTATAAAACCGCAATGTCTCACTAAAGGTACGAATGTACTTACATACATACATACATACATACATACATACATACATACATACATACATACACACATACATACATACATACATACATACATACATACATACATACATACATACATACATACACACATACACACATACATACATACATACATACACACATACACACATACATACATACACACATACACACATACATACATACATACATACATACATACATACACACATACATACATACATACATACATACACACATACATACATACATACATACATACATACATACATACATACATACATACATACATACATACATACATACATACATACATACATACACACATACATACATACATACATACATACATACATACATACATACATACATACATACAACATACATACATACATACATACATACATACATACATACATACATACATACATACATACATACATACATACATACATACATACATACATACATACACACATACACACATACATACATACATACATACATACATAGTATTATTTTTCATGAATAAAAAAATAATACTATTTGTCATATTTAAAAAAAAATTTATATAGTATTTTTATATAATTTTATGCATAAATATTAGTAAGATAAATTTACATATTATAGATAATATTTTAAATATCATAGAAAATAATTTTGATTTTATATATAAATGTTATATACCGGATATAATATATAAATTTGACTTTTTATTGTTTTTCACAAGAAACTTATCGAAAAAAAGAAATTAATTTCATTACATAATATATTGTTTTCTTCCTAGCATTTCTTTTGTCACCTTTTTCTTTTGGCGTTTACCTTTAATAAGTCCATTAGTTCCCTTGGTTTGCATATCTTTTATAATTTTATCCATAAATGAAGAAAATTGATCAGTGAATGAAAAACTTTTAATCTATTTGTTTTAAAAACTAACTAATTTGTTAACAAAAAAAAGATCTTTCAGAATATACTTATTATTAAATTTATAATCATCGTTAATACATATATATGTATTAACAATGCCTTAATTATTTCTAATTATTTATAACATTTCTTCTTTAATTTTATACCTATCAGAAATGTTATTTTCGCTAAATGTTATTCAAAATAAATTTAAAAAGTAAAAATTGATTATGTTTTTTATTTTGAGTCTAATTGTCTCAGAATTTTATCTAATACATATGAACGGTTACTACAAATACGACTAACAAACTTTTTTACCACTGAATCAAAAACTACAGAACTTTTGGATTAATAAATAATAAACACACCATCAAGTTTAGAATTGTGTTAAATTTTTTGTCATGTTCCATCATAATTACAAACTGATCAGGGTAATTACTTTCGATAAAGCGTGTCAATATCTAAGCAGCTTTATACAACAATTTTTTATTCATAGAAATAATATCAATAGAAAATTTATTGACTATTTTATTTTTAGGCTTTGGATTAACTTGTTCAGGAAGATTTAGTCAAACGAAAAATTTAGTTTAAAAGAAAATCCAGAAAAGCTCTCAAAAATTGTAATCTAGTATATTATCAAAAGCAGATTTTGGAGCAGTTTTACTCTTGGTTAGAAAACTTTTAAAGATATTACAATTGAGATCATAGTCCATTCAAAAAAGATATCTGCAGTGGAATGTTTAGGTCATCTTTTTGAAATCTCTTTAAAAAAAATGTTTTAAATGCTCAGAATTTATCTTTTTTGTGACTTATATTGAAATTAAATTATCAGATTAAACACTTGTGAATGATATTGAGTATGGTACAGTGAATTTTCATTTATTTTTTGAACTCATTTAGCCTGGGTGCAAAAAATATGTTCATTCATTTCTTAAATACTCTGAAAAAATATAAATGCTTTAGAAAATTATCTTGAGGTGCCCCAAGACCTTCAAAAACTTAATAGCTCCGTAATTTTAAATAAAAAAATGTTTTTCAAAAGTATGTAATGCTGGGTCTCAAAAGTAGCGAAATTAGATAAAAATTCAAAAATAATCATTTTATTGAAAAATTATTATTTTATAGTTTATTGCTGAAAAAATGACTTTTTTAACTAAAAATGAAAAAAAAATTTATTGATGATATTATCAAAAAAAATCTTAAATAATAATTTTTCTATTATTTATATGCTTTTGAGAAAGTTAAAATAAAACTGTAACTCGAGAACTTTTTACTTGATTTTAATTAAACTTTTAATACAAGAAAATTAAAAACTAAATTAAAATTTAAGTTTTTTTTTTGCTAATATACCTTATTATGGCTCAATGTAGACAAAACAAAGTTTTTCACCTCACTAAATAGTGGTAGACACAATGATATCAATAAAAGATCTGTTCACTCGATGCAATTAAATTTAAAGAAAACGTGACATAACCTTCACTGTTCTACTTGAAGTAATATAAATTTTAAATAAAATAAAGCAAAGGATACCTTTACATACAAAACAGATTTACGTATTGATATTGTTTTAAAAATTAAACAAAATTTTGAAAAACTTATTTTCAAATTTTTTTGATTAAATGTCTTCAAGGTAAAATTAAAAATGCTAATGAAAGTTTTAACAGAACGATTTGAAAGCATATTACAAAAGATAATTATCTGTAATTTGGTAATGTTTGCTAATCTTCATTTGTATGAAAAACGTGGTGAGAATCAATTGCATAACTCTCCTAACAATGGAAATTATCTTGGTTGTATTGATCTGTTAGCTGAATTTGATCCATTTCTAAGAGAACACATTCAAAGATATGGAAATCCAGGAAAGGGAAATGTATCATATCTTTTAGCAAACATATGCAATGAGTTCGTTAATATATTAGGAGGCAAAGTTTTGAAGCAAATAATTTCTAAAATCAAGGATGCTAAATATTATGGAATTAGTATCGATTCAACCCCTTATATTATTCATGTAGATCAGCTCACACTTGTTATTTGAAATGTACTCAAAAACGGAAATGTAGTAGAGCGATTTCTTTAATTTATTCCAATTGAACACCATGATGAACATATTTAATCTTGTGGTTAAGTTTCATGATCACAATCTTATGATAATGCCAGCAATATGAGTGGAATATATTATGGTGTGCAAGCTAGATTCAGAGAGATTAATCATTTAGCAGAATGGATTCCATGTGCTGCTCACAGCTTAAACTTAGTTGGTTCAGCTACCGTGGAGTGTTGTTCAGCAGCTGTAAATTATTTTGGTTTACTTGAAAATATTAATATTGTCAATAAAGCCTTACAGGAGCCGGGTATTGAGCTGTGCACCATCATTAAACTGTACGATGGTCTCATACAGTATTTTTATGATACACGCAGTAAAATTGAAAGATTCAAAATTCTAATAGAAACATTCAGTTCGAAGGCCAGGCAAAAGATCTCACAGAATCTGATTATAAAGAAGCTACACAACGCAAGCGAATTCGGAAGCAATTTGATGACGAAGTTATGGATACAAGTAATCCCAGTTTAAATGTTAGTACCAGGGATAATTTCCGTATTCAACAGTTTTACGTTATCATAGACAGACTTAATAATGAGATGGAAAAACGCAGAGCAGCTTATAAAGTATTGTACGAAAGGTTTAACTTTCTTCTTGACAACAGATTTTTGTCGACTGAGGAAGTAGTGGCTAAAACCAAGGCACTAATTCAGTTGTATCCATCAGACCTCGAAGACGAATTTACCGATGTGTTTTTGCTGTTTTCTCAAATGTTTAATGATGGTAAGTCGGTGTCTGATAAGATTAAGCTGCAAATAGACAATAAACTAGTTGAAAGTTTTCCAAATGTTATTATCGATTTCAGGATTTATCTCTCTATATTACGCACGATAACAGTGCTAGGGAGGAATTCAGAAGGTGAATCCTTCTGGATTCACCTTCTGAAATCCTCCCTGGCACTGCTATCAATTGAAAATGAAGTAATGCGGGAGATGACATTTGAAGATGTTATAGTTGATTTTGCAAATACCAAAAGTCGAAAAGTTAAGGTCATCTAATTATACCCCAGTAAGCACAAAGACGTTTAAAAGACGTTTTAAAGATGTCTTTAAGAAGGTCTAAAAGGCGCACTTGTAGACGTCTAGATCATAAGGCTAAAAGACGTCTAAATGAAGACGTCTTTATAAAAACGCGTTTTAGACGTATTTTAGACGTTTTTTTCAAAATGAATTTAAGTACATGACGTAACATTTTCGCGTAGTATGTGGGATATATTCATTGTATTTATAAAATCATATATTGTTATAATTTCGTATATACAAGATATACATAGGAACCAGCAGTCAAAATAATATTGCTGTAATCACCACAAACGGTTGATGCATCAAGGATGAAAATAATATATAACAATAACAAATATATATCAAAACAGTTATTAATACATTTATAACTTACCTTTTGTCATAATAAAATTTAACGTAAGTAGGATTAGCTAATTTTTGACCGGATACTTGAATTATTATATGGCTTGTGGGTGTATAAAAACTAAAAATACTGGTAATTAACTTATATATTATTCTTGCCATTTTCACTTATTATCATGATCAGTCAACTATCTATTAAAAAAGCAAAATAATTATTAATAAAAAAAAGATATATTAATATTATAGCAATTATTTTAGTGATTCCGGTGACAACAATTTTAGCAATTGTGTAAAAAAGTAATTTAATTTAAAGTAATTTACACTTAAAACTTAAACAAATTATTGAAAGTAATAAAAACCATGTTTTTACTTTGAATATACGACATCTACTTAACGCGTAATGACAAAGCCGTCAAAAAGAAGTCATAATGACATATTTATAAACAGGTCTCAGAAAAGACGTCTTTTAGCCTTGATCTAGACGTCTTTCAATGCGTCTTTTAGACTATTTATTATGCGTCTTTTAAACGTTTTTTTTATCTTTTAAAAAGACGCCTTTTAAACGTCATTTTAAAAACGCATTTATAAAAGACGTCTAAAAGATGTCTTCAAAACGTCTATAAAAGTTCGTCTTTACCTAGACTAGTTTTAGACGTCTATAAGTGTCTAAAATGCGTCTTGTGCTTACTGGGACTGTTTGATTATAAACATTTTTATCAATTATGGATATTATGCTGCATCTGTATGATTATTTTATTAATGAAAACACTTTAAAATTTCTTTTTTTTTCATTACTTTTGTAGGCCCCTGTAGATTCGTAGGCTCTAGGCACAGTGACTATAGTGCCTAATGGATAAGATGGTCCTTTACAGTTTATATTATAAGTTCTATTAGCAAAGGCTAGCAAAATAAACAATACGGCACAATCATCGTTTAAAGCTTCAGCAATAATATCCCGCACTTTAAGATGATTTGTAATTTATGATCTAGATCTGACAAAATCATGTTGATGCCAAGATAACAAACTATGTTTTACTTGGTGTTCAGTAATGACATCACGGATTATTTTTTCCATTGTTTTTCCAACTTCAGGGGTGATGGAAATAGGCCTTCGATTTCCTGGATCATTACAATAATCTTTTTTTGAATATGGGTATTATATTAGCCAGTTTCCATCTAGATGACACTTGGCCTGAATCAAAGGATTTGAAAAATATTAGAAAAAAATTTTTAAACTAAAAATTTTTTTCTAATATTTTTTAGAACAAGTTTTGAGCACTCAAGGATGAAATCCATTATTACCGGCGGCTTTTGAATAAAAGATTTTTGTTATTACAACAACTAAACAAAGAGCTTGAAACTGGAGAACAAACAACTTCGGTTCTTCGAGGAAAAAAAGGGGATTGAGATTGAGTTACAGGTGATGAAAGCGCTTTATAAAATTGATAATTTAGACAATCTGTAAAAGGTTTTTCTTATCGAATAATTGTGTTTCATTGTGGTCAAAAAGAGATTGAATGTCACCTTTACGAGACTTTTAGTTGTTTACATAAGAGTAGAGCTTTTTTGGGCAAGACTTACTAGCAAACTTTATACCGCTTTAGTCACAATTTTTTTGAACAGGCGATTTTGTTAGTTGTATAAGACTTGAATACTGTCTTTAAATTACTAGAAGCACTTCTTAAATAGAAAACGTAATTTCATAAATAGTCTAAATTTTTTCTTTAGTTTTAATAGAAGAATTTAACCGTTTTAAACCACGCTTCTCTAAACTAAAGGACGCATCAAACTTAGGAATATGCTGTTCGATCAAAAAAATCTATGCGTATTTAAATAATTCGCAGAGTTTATTCGAGAATAATTTTGGCCAGTCAATTGTCTTTAGACCTTCATTGATTGCATTGTTTTCACCTTTGTTATACTTTACTGTTATAGTTTACTTTTTGAAGTCTGGAAGTTTTAGTTTTTGATTTAAGTCTGTAATTCCAAAAGAGTGAATCGTAAAGATACTTTTTTTGAGTACATTTTAGTGGAGGACCATTTGTAACATTATAAAAACAATCAGGGTCATCTGATAGCACTAGATCAAGCGTATTATTGATAAAAAGTGATGCGAAGACAAAATATGAAAAGAAACAATCATTAATAGTATCTAAAAAAAGTTGACTAGACTATTTACCACTTTTACATTTGCCACCCTAATTTTTCCACCTTATATTGCTATGGTTAAAATCACCAACAATTAAAACATTTGTAAATTTTCTACCAACAATTAAAACTTTTATTTGACTTATTAATTTGTAAATTAGACTTATTTTGAGTAAACGGATGGCGATAAAAACAACCAACTAACAAAATAGTTTTTCCAATTGAAATTTGACACCATATTTGTTCACCCATTTGTTTATAACTAAACTCGCATTCAAATGAAAGTATATCTTTTCTAATATAAATGGCCACACCACAACGAATTGTCTTATTTTAAAGGTACACAGTGTTATTGTCTAGATTTGTTAAAGGTGTAGTAGTGAATCAAGTTTATATAATGAGAGTAACGTGTGGGTAATCCAGTGATGCAATTCTAGCTCGGAATTTATCCCACTTATTTTGAAAAAATTTTAAACTATAATAAAGACATTTGAGTTCAGATAAAAATTAGGTAGACGATAGAGTAAGAGAACTTTAGGCATTTTTGTTTGGCGTGTTATTCTTCTCGTTCAATCTATCGAATTGTGCCAGAACACACAGACCCGTAACCTTTTTTTCCATCTCTAATGCCTCAAATAAGTTTTCTCCTTTGCAAATCTTTAAATGAATTTGGAAGAGTCTCATTTCTAGTTATATAATCAGCATAAAGTATAGAGCTATTTTTTTATTCTCGGTTTAGTCTGGTCTGAATAAAACTTTTGTGAAACAAGAACTTTTTTTAACTTCCGTTGACATTTTCATAGTCCTTAAATTCAATTAACACCAACGGGGACGCAAAGAAACATTATTTAATTGATTGGTGATCCCAATAGAAACAGAAGAAGTAGGAAGTGATGTTTTCTGATTGAGTGATTTTTCTTTTTTAGCCTTTTTCTAACTTTAACATCATCGCAAAATATTTTTAAGATGGTCACAACTTCATCAATCACTTTATTAGCATCCACCAAATTAAATAACTTAGTAAGACCACTTTAATTATATTATTTAAAACTCCGTTCTTCTTATTGTTTTCTTTTGCAATTTTAGCAAATAAAGCAGCATCATTCACTTTGGCAGTAATGTCCGTCTCATTGTTAACAAAACCTGCCCAAACATTAGCACTGCGAATTTTATTTCGATAAGTGATGCTTGCATTCTCTTTTTTGTAAAGAGAAAAAATTTATTTTTATTGAATTTTATTTTAGATATTGGCACCACAATCCATGCATGTTTATTACTGCTAATTAAGTCTCGTTAAAGGGCAGGAACCCTTTAATTTAACCATATAAGAATACACAGTCTTGACAATGCACACCAAATAAAACTGTTAGTTTTTTACCACGTTTTTATTAGCTCGCTTTCTTGTTTGTTTGTTTGTCCGGGTTTTGCAACTCACTCAATTTTTTAACCCACTTTTCGATTCGAGCTCTGAAATTTTACTCTAGCTCAGAACCCGATGACAATGACGATGACGATGACGATGACGATGACGATTATACTACTTTTACCATGATTTGCCGAGTTTCTTGAACAATTTCAGCAAAATAAAATTTATTATGGCGAAACTTTTGGAGGCGTCGCCGCAATTAATATTGTATACAATTTTATATCTGATTTGTCCTAATAATTGGATTGTACATAGAGGTTCTAAAATTAAAATCTAATTGCAAAATTCCACCCATCAAAAACTAAAAAGAAGAAAATAATATAACAAATAAAAAAACTTTTTATAAAAGTTTCTAAAAAAAAAAAAAAAAAAAAAAAAAGTTAATGAATGAAATATATAAAAACAATGGCAAAGAATGAAAAAAAAACCATTTAAAAAGCGGAACCTCAATCGGCAAATCAAGATTTTTATTTATTTTTTCATACATTTTTTTAGTTTTCTTTCATACATTTCTTAGTATTATTTATTTATTTTTCTTCAATTTTTTAGCGTATATAGTTTTACTTTTTTTTTAGTGGTATATAAATTTTTTATACAATTATATATTATTTGTTTTTATTTTCATTTTAGCTATTTATTATATATGTTTAATTCTACCGTGTATTATAATTATTTTTTTTAATTTTAAGTTTTTTTTGTTGTTGTTTGTTTTATTTATTTTGCATAGTTTTTGTTTTGTTTCGTGATGTTTGTTGTAACTTGTTTTGTTTTGATTTCCTCAGTGTTTTTCTGTTTATATTTTATTTATTTGTTTGGTCATAATATTTGCAATATATTTTGATTATTATATTTTAACAACTATGATTATATTAATATATTTACTAAATCTTGATAATTTTTTTAGCAGTAGTCGTTTTTATGTCATCGTTAGTTGTTACGTTTTGTCAGTTTATTGCTGTTTGTACTGTAGCTTTGTATGTAAAAATGATTGCTGTATGGAAAGTAATACCGATTTATTTAAATTATTACAATTACTTTATTATTATTGTTATTATTATTATTACTACTATTAATATTATCATTACTAAGATTAATTGTATATATATAATTTTTTTTTTAGGTATTTACTTGAGATTAGTATTTCAATACTATTTGTAAATAGCCTTGAAAATTTATTTTCAGAATATATATGATTGATTAAAACCACGTTTTTGTAATGAACTAAAAAGTAGAAAATAATTTTCTCTTGTGGCTATAGAAATTTTTGAAAATTAATTGAGTCGATAGTAAGTGACATGAAAACTTTTGATTATGAACTCTTAATAATTACGATAATATTTGTAAAATTTTAAACGAAAAACGTAGTGCTCATCATGTCACTTTAAATGATCATCATCGTCCTTAATTATTTTAACTATTGCTTCTTTCTTCTGTTCTTTTTTTTTGTTAAATGCGCACCATGTTTTTCGTTTAAAATTTTACAAATATTATCGTAATTATTAAGAGTTTATAATCAAAAGTTTTCATGTCACTTACTATCGACTCAATTAATTTTCAAAAATTTCTATAGCCACAAGAGAAAATTATTTTCTACTTTTTAGTTCATTACAAAAACGTGGTTTTATAAAAAGTTTTTTTATTTGTTATATTATTGTGTTTTTTTCCGTAAGAATAGTAAAAAAATATTTTATTAACTTGTTGCTCAAAAAGTGCTTTATCTATTTTCCGAGTTGTAAAACTAAAATCTTCATTTTATAAAAATATTGCACCCTTTTAATCTCTTTTATTTTTTCTGAAACTAATTTTTTTATTCTCATAATCAAAATACTTTGTATTATGAAAATTGTTCACTCATCTTTTTTTTAAGTGACTCCCACTCTATGAGGTCTTTCAATTTAAATATATTTTTCTATACCAAGTTTTACACTTAAAAGTTGCTTTACCCTTTCTTAAGTAATTTCAAAATATTTTTTCTTGCTGTATTCAGGAACCCCGTTAGTTCTCAAGTTATGTTGTTCTTTAATACACACGTTTTTTTAATTTTTTTCCGAGCATTTTATTGACATAAGTTAAATGTTCACAAACCATTTTTTTTTCGTCCACTGTTTTAACTTTATTTTTGCATGCATCACTAAATTCTGATTTTGATTTATTTAGTTTACGAAGAACACCATTAAAACCTATTTGAAATTTACTAACTTGTCATTTATACTTGATGTGGAATCTCAAAAAAATAAAATCCGTATATCATTTGTTTAATATCGTTTCAACAACCGGTAAACAATGGCCTTAAAATGTAATTTTGAAAAAGTGAATTATTTTGAGGAGTTCGCCAAAAAAATTAGTTTTTCAAATTAAACAAAAATTTAGAATCTTACAAATAAAATTTTGGTTTTTGGGTATAAAATGAAAGATAAATTTTTGGTATAAAAAGAAATATAAATGTTTCAATAATTAGTTTAGCATTTGTTTTTTTTTTTTATTTTTTTTGCCATATACGTATATATACATACAATAAATATTTCAGTATAAATACAGATGGTCGGGGCAAGAAGAAGACACAATTTTTCTTATCACCAAGCCCCGAGAATTAACTTCGTAAAATAAAAATTATTACTTACAGCATATATAATTGTAACCAGTATATAAGAAATAAGATTTTCTGGTAATAAGTATATAAAAATAGTAAAAATATATGAAAAGAGTAATAAATATATAAAAAATAGAACTTTGCAACATATAACTCGTAAAAAAATTTATACTATTTTTTTTGAAAAAATCAAATAAAAAGTTACAAATTAGAAAAAATAAAATGTTGGTTTAACTCTTTTGAGATTTGAGAAGAATAAATAAAAAGATGTTAATATATTTTGAGAAGAATAAATAAAAAGATGTTAATATATAGATAAAAAGATTTAAATATATAGGTTAATAAAAAGATTTAAATATATAGGTTATGATTCACCCAAAGTGACAATAGGTTGGAAAGATAAACTTTAAAATAAATTGAAAAAGCTTATCTGTACTACCAGATAACTTTAGTAAAAGTCATGCACCCCGTCACTAACCGGAAGTATTTGTTTCAATTTGGCTTTAAATTTGTTAAGAGTTTCATGAGTTTTAAGTTTATTAGATATAAATTTATTCCATACTTTAATAAAAATTGCCCTCTAATAAAAATTGAAAACTCCGTTGCAGAAAAAAACTTTTAGGCTGAATATAAGTGTTGTTTGAGTATCTGGTTAAGTATCTATTCTTATTTATTATGAATAACAAATTAAAAATGTTAAGTGTTGTTTTTGAATTAACTTTGAACATAAAAATTAAAAGATGATAAATGCTTATTTTGTAGACGGTAATAACATTGTTTTTTAAAAATAATACAATTTTCTTAAAGTTTCTAAAACTGAACTAAGAGATCTAGCAAATTTTATTTAGGAGAACCAATTTTTAGCTTAGTGTCAAGAGACTAAGGACCATCTTGAAGAAAATTACAATAAAAATCTCAGTCAAGAAGTGGTAAAAAATGCGATAACAGAATAAATCTAATAACGTAGAAAATAAAAGTTTTAGTGACGTCATAGCTAGATCCAAATCAGTTCGAGCAGAATTTAGAGAAACTGAGCACAAACTAGGATTAGAGACAAGACATAAATCAGCGAGTCAAAGTAGATGATGAAGTTGTCAAAAAATAGTAATAAAGAAAGAAAATAAAGATAAGATAAGAAAAATAAATACTAGAACAATACTTGAACAACAAAGAACGAAAATCTGTATCACAGTCAGAGGTTTTAAACCCTTTATTAACCTTTAATACTTTTTTGTGCAACATTAAAATCTTTATATTTTAACAAGTTAGCGCTCTACCACAACCGCATGTAGAAACGTAATAAAAATTGATAATTTTTTTACATTATTTATGAACTGATATGAAAGTATATGCTTATGTCAAGCATAAGCTTATGTCATGGCTATTTAAGATTTTAGAAACCAAATAGAGCCAACACTGATAAATTAAATAATACCAATACTATTAATATATAGATCTAAAGATAAAACAAATTTAAATTACCCCACATAGAGCAGGAAGGTCTGATAAATTTTTGGAGCTAAGATTTAACGGATAAAATGTTACTTTGTAGGCCACAAATATTTATATAGGATAAATTAAAATTGTTGGTATTGATATTTTTATTCAAATATTTTTAAGTTTATTTATGTTATAAGTTTAATAAAAGTCTGATTTTATTATAGGTAGTGGCTATGCAATACCATGCAGCATATTACTGCTAATTAACCTCGTTAACTAGCAGTAATAAGCTGGATGGTATGTGGAGCCTGTGTCTAAGCTGCATGGTATGTGGAGCCTGTGTCTAAGCTGCATGGTATGTGGAGCCTGTGTCTAAGCTGCATGATATGTGGAGCCTGTGTCTAAGCTGCATGGTATGTAGAGCCTGTGTCTAAGCTGCATGGTATGTGGAGCCTGTGTCTAAGCTGCATGGTATGCGGAGTCTGTGTCTAAGCTGCATGGTATGTGGAGCTTGTGTCTAAGCTGTATGGTATGTGGAGCCTGAGTCTAAGCTGCATGGTATGTGGAGCCTGAGTCTAAGCTGCATGGTATGTGGAGCCTGTGTCTAAGCTGCATGGTATGTGGAGCCTGAGTCTAAGCTGCATGGTACGTGGAGCCTGTGAGAGGCTAGTCAACTCTGTTGACTAGCCTCTCACAGAAATTCTACTCTACCTAAAGTAGAGTAGAAACTCGGTAGGAATGTTTTTTCTGGAAGGTCTTCTACAAGACAATAGCCGGATGCAGTTAACATCTGCGCAGAATGAAAATTTTTATTAAGACACCACCTGTAGCATTTAGTAAGGTTAATGAAAATTGAAATACCGGTATTCCCGATAAACTTTTGAATTTAAATAAATTAATATAGATATAGCGATGCTATATTTGTATTATTTTTTTAAACAAATAATAATATAAATTATATTAATATTAGTTTAAATTTACAGTAATACGTCGGTGATATTCACCATGAACGAAAGAAATGACGGTGAGGCGGCTACCGCACCGTCATTTCTTTCGTATATAAATTTTTAACACCTTTAACGCAGTGAAGAAAAAAACAACAACAAGTATTTTAAATACAACTTTAATATTTAAATAACAAAAACAAAATATTTAAATAACAAAAATTCGATTTATAATTATACAAACCTTACATAAAGTGTATGAAATTAGTTTAAAAACTCGTTATTAATAAATTTGATAAAAATAATAAAAATGTTTAAACTGTACAAACACCAAAATCGCAACTCCAATAAGGTATTGTTACAAAGTTATACACGTAATAATTGTTGCAGTTTATAATTTTTACTAAACCGACATCGCTGGCACAGTAATAAGAATAGAAATACAAAGTAGCAGTGACTAATCCGTCACTGACACTTGGATGTGAGACTGATAGCCAACCTGGATACTTGACACCGCAATAGTTTTGTGATTCTATGCATTTTGAGTCCCACAATTTCCCACCACTTTCTGAACTGAATCTAATCCATAACGAATCGTTACCAGCTAACATATTATCGCATGAAATATTTAGTGGGGTGCTTGTTAAGCTGCTGCTACTATATCGACGCCATGATTGATTTAACGTCACATAGTTTTGACAGCCATCAGGAACTATAAAATACAATAAAATGCATACGAGAAATACCAACTCATATCTATTTAATAAATTCACAACATTAAAAATCTAAACACCCTAAACACCCTAAGGATCTTTAAAGGCACTAAAATCTAAAAATAATCAACTTACAACTCTATAAAAGTACTTACATTTCTGATCGCACCACTTTCCACTAAAGCCTGGCAAACAATCGCATGTAACTATGCCTAAAGAGTTTTGACACAAGCCATTTTGACATGTCATAGAGCAATCAAGAAAAGCTATTTGAGCATCTGAAAAAGAAATTTTATTAAAATAAAACCAAATCGGACATATTTAAATTATCACATTAACATCTGTTCCGAAATGAAAACTTTTACGGATTCATTTACATTTGTGTATCACGGATTAAATTAAATTTGTTTATTAAAAATAAGTTACACTTTCATATTTTGAAAATTATCATCTTTCGTAGAACCATTATCAACTTTAGTGGAAACAAATAAAATCAAATCAAATATATTCTGAAATAAAGTTTTAACAAAGAAAAAACAACAACAACAACAAAACAAAAAGCGTGAAACAAGTAAAACAAGTGTCACCATTATCATTATTTGTAAAAACAAGTGTTACCACGATCATCTTTTGTGGAAACAAGTGTGACCATGATCAACTTTTGTGGAAACAAGTGTGATCATTATGTTTCTTGGACTTACTTAATAACGCTGAATAATACTTTTACTTCTGATTTTCTGTTTGAGACTTTAATTTTCTCATTGAATTATAATGCAACAACTTACAGTTTTTATACTTTTTTGTGAAATGTTAAGATCTTTACATTTTTCTAATCAATCACTCTAGCACTATTACCACTACCGCGTTTACCAACGTACCAAATTATAATTATTTATTGTAAATATTCAAATCAAATCAAATCAAATTCTAAATAAAAGGTCTTACATCAAGGATATTTACAAATAGTAATGATACTAATCTGAAGTAAACACCTATAAAATTTAATTTAAATAAATAGTGATAACAATAAGAATAAAAATTAAGAAAAAAAGTGATAAATATAAGAAAAGAAATAATAGTTATTGTAAAAATTATATAACGAAATTAACCACAAAAATAAAACTCATGAAAACAACAACGATAATATTAACAATAATTACAATTTAATAATAAAATTAACAATAATGTCAATAATAATAATTATTATTAATAATAACGATAACAATAATAACAATATAAAAATGATATAAGTTATAATTGAAAGTATAATAATAAAAAGTAAATACCAATTACTTGATATTAAAAATAATATGGGATTGAAAGCAGTAATTATTTAAAAGTATGTATATGTATATAATAATAGTATAAATAAAATAATAATAATAACAATAAAGAACAACACTAGTACTTATCAAACATATAACAATAAAACTAATAATAAAAGTAATAACAGCAATATTCTAAATATAAAAGTAATAACAGCAATATTCTAAATATAATGCGAGATATATATTCATGTATATATACCTATATACATACACACATAAGCACACATACATGCATATATATATATACATATACAAACACATGTATACCTATATATACATACATACAAGTTTGTTAAAAGGGTAATGATAAATTGACATATTTCCGGCTTTATCCCCCCTCTTTTTTCAGTCAAAAAATAACTAACTTTATGTTGCTGTAAATCTTAATGGGTTGAGAATTTTTTGAAAAATGTTTTACAGTCTTTCCTAACTTATATCTTTAAACATTTGTGCCAAATTTCAGCGAATTTGGTGATGCAGGGTGCAACCCCTTGTTTTTTGAGAAATTTTTACCCCTAATGCATAAGTGTGAACTTCTCAAAACCTTATACATATTTAATTTATGCTTTTAAATAAATATTTATCAAACATGTTATAATCACAACAAATACATAAATATTTAAAAAAAAAAAAATTCAAAGTATCAGAGCAAATTTTAGTCTAAAACTACCTTTATAGCAAACAGCATTATAAGATTGTAAGCACAATACATCGGCCCATCCTTGTGTACCATTAGATATAGAACAATTACCATTTCCACTTGGTTTTCCAATGCCCCAATTTGTATAAGATAAAAGGCTATTACTCCATTCCCACTGACCATCAATTTTTTTGAAATCTAACCAAATTGCTGAATTAGCAAGTGAAACTAAAAAATAGTCCCAAGGTCTAGAAACAATTGTAGGTAGAGAAGCATTGAGATAAGAGCACTGTAACTGAGCTTGATCATAAGTGTAGTTGTTGTTGAGAAGTTTGAAACACTGGTCTTGAAAATAGTAATAACCATCCTCACAAAACTCTAAAAAAAAAAAAATAATATAATAAAACATTGGCAGCATACATTTTTTCTTTATAATAACTAATTTTTTTTTAGTAATTTATTAAAAGTTTTATGATCCAAAAAATATTTAAAAAGTTTTAAACTTGAATTTAATTGCATCTAATTTTCAGACAAAATGTTTTACCATATAAAGCAATAGATGTACCTGTCAACCAATATCTTTTACAATATTAACTTTTTTTAAATGAATATTTTACTACTTTTAAATTACTCTAAAATTTTTTTCATAAATAAAGTACAAAACAATAGTAAAGTGTAAAGTTGTAAAATATTACGAACATTAAAATGTTACAAATAATAAAATATTAGGCATATTTATATATTACAAATATTACTAAATTACAAACATTAATATACAAAGAATGATAATATTATTAAAAGAACTTATGTTATGAACGGTAATATATTATGAATATATTAATATATTTAGAACATTAAAACATAAATAAAATTAAAATTACAAACATTAAATTATTATGTATATAACCTTTTTTTAAATCATAAAGTATTTAAAAAAACAACAAGTCAAATCATTAGAACAATAAAAGTAACACAACAGTTAACAAAATTTGGTAATTAAAAAAATTGACTATTTGTCTCTTGTGACTATTAACTTTATTTGGCTATTAAAACCATTTGACCAATAACATTTACTGAAGGTGTATTGAAAATAGATACAGTAGTATTTTATACTTTTTTTTTATAGATGTTGTTTAACATCTATTTTATATCTGGTTAAAATATGTTTATGTATGATGTATGACTGCAATAGCGTTTATTTTAAAAAGTTATTGCAATTACTTAATTAGTAAAAATGTAAATCATTATCAAAGCATCAAATGAAATTTCCACTGATGAGCCGGGAACCGAATAAACTGATGAGCCGGGAACCGAATAATATCCACTGATGAGCCGGGAACCGAATAAGAAGTTCTTGCAGTAAAAAATCCAGAATCTTCAGGTAATTTATAAAAACATTATTTTAACAAAGATATTGATGATCTAAGCTAATCTAACTGTAGAGTTTATAGACCAGAAAGTTATGGCTACAGTGTAAACTGTAGAAAGAAAAGATTTTAGACTGTAGAGTTTAAAAGTGTCAAGTTAAACAAGTATATTCTTGAGACACACAATATTAGAAAAAATGTAGTGTGGTGTGTGTGTGCACGTACACACACACAGATATATATATATATATATATATATATATATATATATATATATATATATATATATATATATATATATATATATATATATATATATATATATATATATATACGCATTCACATATATTTGAATTTATAAAATATGAAATATACTAATCAAAATTAAAAAAAAAACACTTGATTATACATAAATATATAAGAATAACTTAAAACTTACTTGGAAAAATGACATAATAAAGGGTAAGTTTATTGAGCTTCATATATTCCCAATCAACTGAATCTACACAAAACTGAATGCTAGTGTCGTTCTTTGTCTGAAATATTCAAGAAAGTTCTATATGCATAAGAATATGAAAGTTCTATATATGCATAAATTTTAATTAAAAGTTTAATTACACACCTGCTAAAAGCTGGTAAAAAATAAGACATAGTAAACATTGGATAGAGTGACATTGTATTTAAAATAATGTAAAAACAAAAAAAAAGTTTTCCTGTGAATTTTTTAATTGCTAACTCCTAAAAACCCCTTGAAGTATCATTCAAAAATGAGCATACAAAACCCATTTCTTTATTAAACTTTCTTATGTTGCTACATAAGGACACAATATTTAAATACTCAAGTTTATAAATTAACAAGACCTTGAGTTATATTAAACAGTGAATACCAATAAATTTTAAGAAAAATATTAAAAAAAAAAGTCAAAATAAAAAAACAAAAATAAAAATGCTTAACATAATATATATGAAACCTTTTTATATTTTAAATAATGACCAAAATATTAAAAACAAAATAGAAAATTCTAATAACTTTATGATGCAAATATTTTAAATTAACTAAATGATACTAGTTAAATTCACTGCATAAAATTTAATTATTATTATATATATTTAATATATATATATATATATATATATATTTAATATATATATATATATATTTAATATATATATATATATTTAATATATATATATATTTAATATATATATATTTAATATATATATATATATATATATATATATTTAATATATATATATTTAATATATATATATATATATATATATATATATATATATATATATATATATATATATATATATATATAGTTCTTATACTAAATAATTAAAATTATGGAAAACCAATATTTCATTTATTCAATAAAGATATCACATTTAACCTTTCTGAGAACTTTTTTAAACTTTATAGAAAACCAGAAGATATTCTTTTATATATTACCATTGATTCCAATCATCCACCAAGCATCATTAAATCTATACCTATATTTTGGTTTAACCCATCTTATTCACTCAATTTCAGAATAAACATAACAAAAACATTTTTGAGTACAATTGATAAATATTCCCCATAAGGCCACAAATTTCACAAGCTTTTATACCAGAACAACATAAAGATTAGTTATAGCTGCCTTCCAAACATCAAGAGTATTATTACTTCTCATAATAAATATATTATTAATTCTCATTTAAATGCCTTCCAAACATCAAGAATATTATTACTTCTCATAATAAATATTCAAACATCAAGAGTATTATTATTTATAATTTTATTTATTATAATTTATCTAACAACTTAATAAAACATCATAAAACTATGATGTAAAACTATGACTAATATATGATATATAATACTAATATATAATATACTATATACTATATATACTAATATAAAACATCATAAAACTATGATGTAAAACTATGACTAATAATAAAACTATGACTAAAAATTAATAACTTAATAAAACATCATAAAACATACTATAAACAAACATAATAAAACATACTTTATTACTTAAAAAAACATCAAGGGTATTATTACTTAATAAACATCAAGTGTATTATTACTTCTCATAATAAATATATTATTAATTCTCATGAAAATGCCAATTGATTGGCATTTTCATGAGAATTAAATTACTATTAGTTCTCATGAAAATGCCAATCAATTGTGCAATTATCGAAAAACTACCTTATGTCCACTCAATGGAAAAAGCCTAACAAAAAACTTTATTTGTATTTGCAAAGTAAAAACTAACCAAGAAAAAGAAGGGTATTATTACATCGGGCTGATATCACTTTTAAAGACAGGTGGTATAAATATAAAAAATCTTTTGTTTATGAAAGTAAGGCCAACTCCATTGAACTTTTGAAATTTGTGTGGAAATATAAAAATAAAGCATTAGAACCTATACTAAAATGAAATATTCTTGATCAAACGGAGCCATTCAAACTTGGTGGTAAATTTTGCAAATTATGCTTGACAGAAAAATACTACATTATTACATCAGCATTAAATTTGCTTAATAAATGAACCAGGCTTGCATCAAAGTGATGAAACAGGCTTGAAAATAAATTTCTAATAAAAAACTTATGTCATCAAAGCAGACACTCCATAGCATTTTTTGTTTATAAATTTTGTCGTTGCTTTTTTCTTGTTGTTACATCTGATGATCGCTATTGGGTGAAACTACTAGTTATGTAATTGAAATATATTTTAATAATTATTTAGTTTTCACTATATTATTTGCTCTACCAGTTATTTAACATGCTGTATTGAACGCTCTTACTGGAAATATTAACACAATTCCTACAATATGAACACTTACACACATATTTATATATATATATATATATATATATATATATATATATATATATATATATATATATATATATATATATACAGCTGCGAAAAATAAAATAGCACCACCACCAAAAATTGGTTGAAATTAGAATTTTTAACTATTTTTGATAGTTTGAGAATCTTTTAAATACATATTCAAAAGTAAAATGGGTTATAATTTTTATAAAATACAAAATATACAAGTTTTAATATATGGTGTTCATTTATTAAACAAAAATTCAAAAAAAAATCAAATAAGACGCGAAAAAAATAATAGCACCACAGCTTTAATGTGTAGTGTAAAATAAGGAAATATTATGAGATCAATTGTTTTAAACATTTTACAATAAATATTAGTAATTACTTAACACAGTATTTTGTAGCGTGACCTTTATTGGCAATGACGGCTACAAAACGTCTTGGCATCAAGTTAACCAAGTCCTAACATCGCTTTACCGGAATTTTGCACCATGTCTCCTTAACTACGTTCCAAAGTGACTCCTTCGTGGTGGGTTTGGCAGCAGCAACCACCTCTTTTACGTCAGCCCGTAAATTCTCGATTGGGTTAAGATCTGGCAACTGTGCTGGCTACTCCATAACGTTCACTTTATGCTCCTCAAACCAATTCTTTGCCTTTTTTCTAGTGTGCTTTGGGTCATTGTCCTGTTGAATACCCTGGACAACGGCATTTCATAGTCTGCATACGCAACATTACTTTATCCAATATACCAACATAAACATATTGATCCATAATAGTAGTAATGTGATGTATGGGCCCTACTCCGTAATAAGAAAAGCATGCCCATATCATTATACTACAACCTCCATGTTAAATAGTTTTGATGGTATATTTTGGATTGTATTCTGCATTCGGGGGTCTTCTGACATACGCCGGACAGCTTTTTCCACCATAAAGCACAATCTTACTTTCGCCTGTCTATAAAATATTCATGTCCATATTCATGTCCATTTTTCAAGTGGCCAATTTGAGTGTTTTTTAGCAAACGCAATGCGCTTTACAACATGTTTGGCACTTAGATGTGGAACTTTTCTGGGGCTACAGGCTTTTAATCCATTAACTCGCAGACAACTCCAAACTGTTTGTACTGTTGCATCGATGTTAAAGTCTTTTTTTAGCTCGGTAGCTGTTTTTAAAGGTTCCTTTTTAGCCTGTCGGACTAAGGAATTGGCCAGCAATCTTGAAATAGAATGTTTTTAACCACGTGTTTCTGGATTTCTTGAAATTTTATGGCATTTCTTATCATTTTATTGGAACATTCAACTAAACGACCAACTTCTCTATAAGATTCCCTGCTGATATCAACTTTTTTCTAAAGAAAAATGAGAACTGATATCCGATCAGTTCTCGTTTTTCTGCACTACAATGTTTTCCGATCCCATTTTTATATGTAAATGTCTCCTTCTAATACGCACTAACATAAAACAAATACAACAGCAAAAAAAAAAACTCAACGCTTGCTATTTTTACAATTATTTTTACCATTATCAGAGTATTTTATAACAGAAGAGTGTGTGGTGCTACTTTATTTTTCGGTCAGAATTGTGATTTTTGATTAAAATCGAGCAACACCAAGCAGTTTTTTTCCCAAAATGATTTGTTTTAGAAAATAAACATGTTAGCTAAAATTTTAAACAGTAAAGATATGAAAAAAATTTATTTTGCATGGTGTTTTTTTAACAAAAAGGAAAATACGCTTAGTGGTGCTATTTTATTTTTCGCAACTATATATATATATATATATAATATATATATATATATATATATATATATATATATATATATATATATATATATATATACACACAGTAGTAGTAGTAGTAGTAGTAGTAGTAGTAGTAGTAGTAGTAGTAGTAGTAGTAGTAGTAGTAGTAGTAGTAGTAGTAGTAGTAGTAAATTATATGTATTAAAACATGATCAAAATGCACTCTAAACATAGTTAGGGGTGTATATGGTTCCACCATGGAGATGTAAACCTGTAAAGAGTTGAGGGAATAATCAATAAGTACTAAGTAATCAATAGTGCACCAATCACATTTACTGAGAAGAAACTGTACTTTTCAACAAACAATGACCTAAAACATAGTGCAAGAAAAAATAAAAGATACATATAAAACAATAAAATACCTACAAAAGAGTCACACAATCATCTGATCTTAATCCAATTGAGAATCTTTGGTCAAATTAAATGCTAAGTTCAAAGATTGAAATCCTGATAATGAATTTATATAACTGTAGCCATAAATAAAACTGTTAATTTGGAGAATAAACTTTTTAAATCTCTGAATTAGTACCAGGATGACGTTGATGCAAACAATGCTGCAATTTAATTATTGGAAATTAAGGACACCTGGTCAAGGAAACAGGTTCTATTGTTGCCCAAAACTTGTAAGAACCTGATAAATGCTTAAGAAATAGAAAGAGATAAAATTTTATCATTTTGAAATACCTTTATGCAAAAACAAAAAATGTAAGTTTCTAATTAAATTTTACATTTATTTACATTTTGACTTTTGAGAAGTGCAATTATAGTGAATAGATTATGGTGAACTCGTGGGAAAAAAATCACGTAAAAATTAACACAACTGGAGCTATTTTACATGCAAGGTTTTTAGCAAAGAAATTGTGCTACTTAAAACTCAAGTTGCATTTCCCAAAACCAGGCAGATTCCTACTCTGAGTGATAAAGTAGTCAATGAAATCAATAAAATGGTTGACTCTCTCTTCTGGGTAAATAGTCAATGAAATCAATAGAATGGGTGAATCTCTTTCTTTGGCATAGTGGTTTTTGACCTGCAAGTTTTCTGATTCTGCAGTTATTAAAGTAAAAGTTAGTTTTATAAGTTTGGATAGTTTAGTCTTATTATTTAAGAATAATTTATGTCATAAAAGTAGCATTAATTAAAAACAACTTTTTTGCAAAAAGGGTTTTAAGTCAGATGTAAAAAACAAAGAAAATAGCTCACCTAACATTTTTTTTTTTTTACTTTTCTTAAAATCAATAGAAAGATAATAGACTTTTCTTAAAATCAATAGAAAGATAATAGAAATGAAATAAATAGAATTGCACTTTTATTTTATCTAGCCAAAATTAAATGTAATAATTTTTTATCATTTTAAACCTTATTTTATCTCTATTGGATTACTTTTAATTTAAACTTTTAAGACCAATACGTCTATAAGCAGATGTACGATATTGTAATCAGTAAAAGATAGGTGCTATGTATTTCATAAATTAAAAAGCACAGTAATTTTTTTTGTAAAGAAACACATAAAGAAAATATTGCTGAAAAAATCAACTGGATTCAACATCAGAATCTATTTGCTTGGAGATTTGTCCAAATTTAGTTAAAAATTGCAAAAAACCCAACTTCTACCAAAATACTTTGAAATTTTTTTTTTATGTTTATATAAATATGATTTCTACACAACTCATTAGCCAATCTACATAAAAATTGATTATCAAAAAAAAATTATGAAATCTGCTAACACAGCTGTAAACATTGCAATTATAAAAAAAGTTCTATAGGGCATTACTATAATTTTATAAATAGCTTTATGGGGTGACCCCATAAAATAATTTTATTAACAGTAAATAACTATAATATTACACATCTATTTATTAATTAAAGATGGTTACTATATTTAACATATCTGAATACTTTGTACATCAGACCAGATAGACAAATCCATTATATCTGGTCAGATATCATATTCAGTATAACTCCAAAGTTATACTGAATATGATATCTTTTAATTTTTTTCATTATTTTTTATACAAAAAATAATGAAAAAAATTAATTGTGACAATAATGTTTTGAATCAAAATTCACTAACCTCTATCCATGCTGCCAAATTATTTAAAGAATCTTTTAAAGGATAATTTGCAGAAAAAAATGAACTTGAAGAAGCAACTGTTACAAATACTGTAGGACTTGGTAATTTGGGATAATGAGTGTTGTATTTCATAGCCTAAACCAAAATAAAAAGTGGTAATTAATCAAATTATATAAATAAAAAATATATATGTATATATATAAATAAATATATATATATATATATATATATATATATATATATATATATATATATAAATATATAAATATATAAATAGTATTGCGTACTAAGGTAAGCAATCTACAATTAGTACAAATAGTATACAAATAGTATTGTGTACTAAGGTAAGCAATCTGACGTCATACTGAAAAAGCTTGCTGCTGGGGGCTTTAGTACATACATCGACTGACAAATAGCCTGACTCACAGTGGAGTGCTGCTACATTGACTGAGGGTTTGTGATAGGGCAGCAATCATTTCATTAACATATGCTTATAAAAATACGCTTTAGTAAGTGTATATATATATATATATATATATATATATATATATATATATATATATATATATATATATATATATATATATATATATATATATATATATATATATATATTATACATAAAGAGTTTTATTATTTATATATAAAGAGTTTAATTATTTGAAAAAATACAACTTTGCAATGGAACTTAAAGTTTCATGCCCTTTGACAATCATCAGCCATATTTTATTCTTTAAATTAGGAAAAAAAAAGTTTTTTTCTTAATTTAAAGAATATATAAATATCTCAAACTATACAATATTCTCAAACTATACAAAAGGAAGTAAATTAAACCTTTACTTTAGGCAACCTAAATTATTCCTTCAATATATTTTCTTAAATCAAGAGAACTCAATCACAGCTCAGCTGTAAAATAAGGAAATGTTTAAGAAACTTTACCTCATGTTAAAAAAGAAATTTTAAAGTTCTATTGAAATAAAGAAGGTTTAGCACCTCTTATCATTGTTATAAATAAACTCATCATAAATTTATTTGCAGTTTAAAATGCAGAAAAACAAGAAAACATAAAAAGAAAAATTTGAAGACAAAAATTTCATGTCTTTAAGATTTTCTTTTAAGGTTTTCTTATCTTTCTGCATTTTTTTTAGTACCTTAAAATACTTTTTAACAATTATTGAACTTCTTGTGTTAGAATTTATTGGTAACTTTTGATTGGTCAATCAAACTATTTTTTCAATAATGGTGTTAAAATAACAACTTATAAAAAAAGGTTTATTGTACTTTCAGTCTTAGATGTGATGTGTTAAATTATGTTACTATTAAACTTTTTAAAACTATGTTCAATTAGCAATAAACTAAAATTTAATTTTTTATATCAAAATAGTTCATTGAAAACTGTTCTTTATTTTACATTTTTTTAATGTTTTTTTTATGCAGCTTAATTGTTGGAGTATCAGCTGTTCGTATCCACAAGACAATTTTATATAAAGAAGTTAGTAGGTTTGTTATGTTTTTACTTTTAGCTGTGCAATGATTAAAATTGCATTTAAATTTTATTTAATATGTGCTTTTTTTATGCAGCCTAATTGTTGGAGTATCAGCTGTACATATCTACAAGATAATTGTATATAAAGGAGATAAGTTATAAATTAAAGGAGATAAGATAAAGGAGGTAGTTAGGTTTAAACTTCTACTTTTTGCTGTGTAATGATTAAAATTGCATTTAAATTTTTCTTTCTACTTTTTAACATTACAATAAATTAAAACATTTTTTGTATTGGTAATATTTCAATCAAAAAGGTGATATCTATTGAAAAATATCTTTTATTTAGCTGAGTATTCTTTTATTAATATTGATGGAGAGTATTCTTTTATTAATATTTCTGGATGTTTAATTCTTTGCATGTTTAATCAAGTTCGATCGAAAAAAAAAGTGGTTTACAAGTACGATCAAAGCTTGACTCTTATTGTAAGGTTAATATTTTTGTCTAATAGTTACATAATTCAGAAAAGATCAGAATTATCAAAATATCTTAAAACCCTAGTATGAATTTACATTGTTTTGTTTGCAGAAAGTCCTTTGGTGCTGTAAACATAATGGTATAGCATTTAAAACGGGCACATGCTGTCTATGCACATAATGATATTCCCATGTTTTTCCAATTTAAGAGTGCATATTTTTGCAAGTATCACCAGGATTTGTTACATGTAAACAATATAGAATCTACATGTGATTTTTCTGGCCTATATTTATTTAATGATATAAATGATGTCTCAACAGATGAGCAATTGGATTGCAATGTAGATTCTTTAGATAATAGAGAAGCAATATACAATAGAAGTAATATACAAGATAGTATGCAGAAATCATTTGCATAATTTGTAACTGAAGGTGGTAATGAACTACTGCAGGATTCAATGAAATTAACTTTGGTGCGTTTCTGCTTTTCTGTTTTTAATGAACTGAATATTGATGAAAATTTTACTTGCATTCAAAATCTTTATGAAGATCTTGCAGCTGTGACTACTTGCATTAAAATAGTTGATACAGAACATAGGCTGATAGCATATTTAAAAAATATATATTTTTATAAAGTTCCACATTCAGAGTTTCTTGGAGTAAGGAAAGAGAAATGCAAATCACTTTCATTAAGTAGTTACAAAATGAAAGACATAATGGATACTGCTCAATACATTCCTATTGAATTATTATTAGCACAAATAATAATTGAATGTAAACATCACTTCATAAGTTTAAATTGCTACAACTATGCAAGTATTGATGGGAACTGATTACTTTGACACTGATACATACAGGCAACATCTTTATTTTTCTAAATTTTCTGATGCAATGGTTTTACATTTTTATATTGATGGGTTTGAAATAACAAATCCACTCGGTCCGCATACACAGATACATAAAATGGAGGCTCTTTATATGACAGTGAGAATTTACCTCTCAGACTTCTTTCTAAAAAATTTTCAATTTTTCTGGTGGGCATATGGTATGTTCTAGATGTTAAAGATAAAACACGGTCTTATGATATAATTCTTGCTTCATTAATAAACATGTTGAAGCAATTAGAATCTGACAAGGGTATAAAAGTCTCGATATATAATCAAACAATAAATGTGCAAGCATCTCTAGCACTTTTTTCTGCTAATAATTTGGGTTACCATACATTGTTTGGATTTTTTGAGAGTTTTAATGCACGGAAATTCTGTAGATTATGTGAAATGATAAAGGAGGAAAGCCAAATCAAGTTCCTTGAAACCAATTATGTTAAAAAAACTAAAGAATCTTATGATCAGTCAGTTAATTCCAATAATTGGTCAACCTGATTATAAAGAGCCTGAATGTGGAATTAAAAATAAGTGTATTTTTAATGAGCTAAAGTACTTCCATGATGCGGAGAACTTTGCTGTTGAACCTTCACAATAAATCATGCAATGCATGATTTATTGCGAGGGTTTCTATTGAATTAAGTGATGTACTAGGTAGTTTATGTGTTGATGGCTATATATCTCTTAACAAATTTAATTTGTTGTTGACTGAATCTAATTTTGACTCTTCTGACAGAAATAGTTAACCATGCAACACCTAAGGAAACATATGGAGTTTATAAAAAAAACATTTCAATCATACCATACCAAAAAGCCAACAAAAGCAAGCAAAAAATTAGCAAATAAAACCCAAAAAGAACAATTGAACCAAATGCAACTCAAACACCAAAACTTTATAAAAAATGTAAAAACCATTTATTTTAATTGATTAATCTTTTTTTAATTTAAGCAACAACACATGTGTAATAATCAACTCAACACAAATAATATCAAAGCCATAAAATCTAAAACCTAATTTAATAATTTTTTTTTTTTTTAATTATTCACCTGCCCAAAGCCCGAGGGGGCCACTACAGTCGAGGAGGCTATTCATTTCTTTTTTTTTTTTTTTTTGTTGTAAATAGTGGTACAACCCTCTCTCAACTCTATAACTCCGAAACACGAACCTTGACGAGCAAGGCTGCTGCGCGGAGAAATTAAGTTGAGCGCGTTACTTCCAGGGACATGGTGGGAGTCGAACTCCGAACCTCTCGCTTACAAAGCAAGCGCTCTTACCACTACACCACTACTGCATTTTTTCCACATTTAGCACATAATTCCAAGTTTGAGTCAAAGATATTTTTTAGAAGCTGCGTAAAAAGCAGAATAAAATGATCAGAATAAAATTATCAGAACCTGGTTTATATTGTTCTATTTTAACGGAATCTTAATCTAAACATAAAAACTTTATTATTATAAATCATTATAATTTTTTTAATTTATTATTTTTGCATTAGATCAATCACAATGAACAAAAAAAAATATGATGTAAATTAAAATAAATAAAAGATAATAGTTACTCACAGAACAAATGGTTGATCCAACAATATTAGAGGAAGTTAAAACCATGTCACCAACTTCTGGAAAATATTTTGAAGCAGTGTACACTGCTAGATAATGCTAAAACAAACATTTAATATAAAAAATTTTTACTTTAAATTTTAAATTTTTATAATCTTTTGACTTTTAATATTTTATACAAAGAAAAATTTTTATAGAATAAAACAATAAAACCCATCAAATATTTAAAAAATGAATACATACATAAATATCACTCGAAAATAGAATTTAAACAACTCGAAAAATATCATAAATAATATTTTCATATTATATGTAAAAAAAATTCTTACAATTTGAACACCTTCATGAACACCATCGAAGTTTTGTAATTCCTGAACACAGATTTTATGCACCAATGAATTTGGATCTTTTTCTATCCAAATATTCAACGCATCAGTAAAACTGCTTGAATTAAGGCTGACAGATGCCAAAAGATTTGGAGTTCTTGGAAACTTTTATAAATAAAAGAAAGTAAATGAATTTATATAAAGATTTAAAAAAAAGTACAAAGCTAAAAATTATTTCCACACAAATGTCATTTAGTAGCCATTTTTAAGTTCAGCACATTTAAATAACTTTTTAAATAATTTCAATTGCTACTTATTTCATTAATTTAATACTGCTCAGCTCTTCGAAAATTATTTCAATCACTACTTAGTTCTTGGATTTCATTAATTTAATACTGTTCAGTTCTTCGAAAATTACTTCAATTACTACTTAGTTCTTGGATTTTATTAATTTAATACTGCTCAGTTCTTCGAAAATTATTTTGGTTTTTAGTTTTTATGGTCAAAAAGCATTTTTAAATCTATCTAAAAGTTTGGCATATTTGTTATTGTTAAAAATTCCTGATAAATCTTTTTTTTTTTTATAAATTACATTTCTTTTTTGTTATTTAAATAAATAATTAAATAATTTATTTCAGAAATAAACACTCCCCCCCCCAAACATATAGAATGCTTACTCTATTTTATTTCAAGTTTTTCAAAAAAAACTGACTAAGCTACACAGTAATATATATAAGTACCACAAACAACAAGAAAGTAAACAATGAAAAAGAGCTTGGTCAATTTATTTAATAAAAGCATTTAAAAGAGTTCAAAACATTTTGATAACAATAAAAAAAGAATAAAAAAAGAAATTAAGTGAATATTAAAGGCTAAACAAAAGTTTATAAAGAAATACTCAGAGGATACAAACCTTTCATAATAAATTAGTAAATTACATAAAAAGTAAAATATGTAAGTTTATGTTAAAGCCTAGCATTTGTGTCTATCCAAGTTTTTCAAATCGTAGAATAGCAACTATCAAATCATAGGATAGCAACCATCAATTACCACAGATTTGAAAAACATTACTACCAGCCGGTTTTAAAACGTTTAATCTAAGTTTTAATCCATTAATCAAAACTATTAGTTTAAGTTTTAGAGCTATATCTTCATTCAGAGGTAAGAGAAATAGTTAAATATTAACAATGGCATTAATAAAAAAGCATGATTAAAACCCATATGTAAAGTCATAAAAATGGGCTCATCATTCTAAACAGAAAATAAAGACAGTATTATACCTAAGCCAACCTATTGGATGAAAAAGAAGCAAAAAGCTTGTCAAAAGAATTTTTTTTTTAACTCCTTAGGGCTATTTTAAGTCTATTTTTTTTTTTTAAATTAGAAATAACAAAATTAACAAAGTTTGGTTTAAAGAAAAAGATCTAGGTACTAAATAAAATTTGGTTTAAACAAAAAGGTCTAGGTACTAAATAATATTTTATCAATAACAGAGTGACTCTGACTTTGGATCTTTTGTATCATAAATTTATAGTAAATGTATAAAACTATAAAAACTTTATTTACTATAAAACTAGAGATTTATATTTTTATAAATTAAACTTACTGATAAAGAAAAACACTGGCTTCCAGTTTCCCATGTAGGAAGATTAATAATTCCACCTTCTATTATACCTGGTGTAAAAATGCTTTTTTGGAAAACTCCCCAATACACATTAGGTGAAGGCAAATTGTCAAAAAAATGTCTTCCTGCAACTAATACACAAGCTCTAAAGCTATTTACAGTAACGTTTTCACTCCAGACAGCTGATGCATCGTGAATTGTTTTTCTTTTTATATCTGATTCCCATGACACAGTTAAAATAACCTAAGTTCAATAATAACATTTTAACACTTAAAAAACTGAAAACCTAAGCAAATATCTTTTAGTAAAATTAGATCATGAAGTAATAATATTAATAATAATATAGTATACAGGCTTACCTGTAATGGGTAAAGTTTATAAAAAAAATTTGACACCAATGCAACATTTTTGCAGAATACACCAGGTGCACCTGGAACTGGATCCAATTTAACCATTCCAGTAAGATATGGATCCTCTAAAATTATAAGAAATAATTTAAAACAATTCATGAATTCTTTTAAAACAGTAAAATGATTGAGAGTTTTTTTAATCTAACCATAAAAAAAGAACAAAAAAGTATTTAACAATTTAAAATGTTTTTTTGTCTGTTGTTACAGAAAAAATGGTCAAACTTTCTAAAAACTATCTTTCAAATAATATCAAAATAGAGGTTTGAATAGATGAATGCAAGTAGCCAGATTTTAAGTATATTTTCAAAATCTAGAAAAATTAAGAATTGAGAATTGTTTTAATTAAAAAAAATTTTTTTTTCCTTATTTAAAACTTCTTTCCAGAATTTAGTAATTAATATTCTAAACATATCCATTCACTTAAATAAACATAAAAAAAAAAAATTAATTTGTAAATTTGGCTTTTATAAATGATTTCTTAAAAATATTCATTAATATATTATATATATGAAAAAAACAAACAAACAACAACAATCAAGGAAATTATATGTAAAGTGTTTTTTTTTTAAACATTTTAGTTTATTTTATATTTTAATAATATTAAATTTAATAATTTATTGAATAATATTTACTATTAAACTTGTTAATAGTAACATTACTATTAAACTTGTTGTTCAATTCAACGCACATTATTTTTAAGTAAATTTTGAAAGTGATTGAAATATTAATGATCAGAGTGTGTTGATCTAGAAAACAGTTGATCAAAACTACAGTCAATTAAACTTTCATAAGGGATGATAACTTTCTTGGATTGTTTTTCATTACATTCAAAACAAATATAATAAAAAAAAGTTTGATATAGATTTTACTACTTTGTAATGAGTGGTAACCACTTTGTAATGTGTGGTAACCACTTTGTAATGTGTGGTAATTAGTTTATAATATGTGGTAATCACTTTGTAATAAGTGGTAATCACTTTGTAATATGTGATAATCGCTTTATAATGTGATAATCACTTTGTAATATGTGATAATTATTTTGTAATATGTGGTATTTACTTTGTAATATGTGGTAATCAATTTATAATATGTAGTGACTATTTTTTTTAAAGAAATTTGCAATATTAAAATATTGAATTACTTATATTAAACAAATATAAATATATTTAACTAAATTAATAGTGAACAAAAGTGAACAATAAAAATAAAAACAAACAATCTTAAGCTTACGTTTACAACTCCCTTCATAAGCCATTCCAGGCCATGTGTTACTGTTATTTCCAAATTCATTGCAAAAGTTCTTTTGCATTTCACAAAGACTTGAGTAGGTTACTAAATTAAAGCCACACACATTACTAGATACTGGACACAATAGTTTGCACCCACAATATGGTTTTAAATTGTCATCAAATTGACATTCCAGCTCATCTGCACAAGCAAAATTAAAGCAAGGTTCTACAGTTCCAATAACACTATAGTGCAGTTTTACTGGGAATGGTCGATGAGTTTGGTTTTCGTGACCATTTCGGGAACAAATGACTACAAAAGTATTACCAACACTATGGACCCACGTAATCAGATTACCAATTTTTAACATTGATTCTTTTGTTACTGTATTTAAATCAGATATAATCACTTCAGGAGTTAGGAGTACAATAGGTATATCTAAATAGGAATATTTAAAATTGATCTTTTCACAAAATAGACTTTTTTGATTAGTTGCAGCTCCATTAAGTTTGGTATCAAAGATATAAGTATTTGCTTCAGAAATGTTTAAAGTGGGTCTAGATATTGCTACATAACTTATATAAATGTCCTTTAGTTCTGAAAAAGCAAACTGTTCTTTATAACATGCACCAAAACCATTCACAGTGGTGTTATACAACCATAACAATGGGAAATCAGAAAAATACTGATTGGTAGCAGGTGTGTAACCATTTAACTTTATTACAGGTGAACTTTCCATTATAGTTGGAAAAAAAGTGTACACACAGTTTAAGTCTGTGTATGGTAAAGTTTGAAACTTTCCAATTTGTAATTGGCTTTGCAATGAGCTTGACAAATAACTAACTGACATAAGCAAAAGATATGCATCTACACTTTCATGTGAACCAATAAATGTTGCCACTGAACTATTATATTTTAGAAATGAATTGGAAGGATAAACATTAGATACTGTTTGTGAAAAAATTACCGAACTATCATTGCTTATACTTATGTCATCACTTAATAATGATGTTTCCTGAAACAAATTTTGTATATTAGGTATAACTTTGATTGATATTTGTCCAATACCTACTAAAAAAAATAAAACAAAACTTATATTTACGATACTATATATTAAAAAAAAGAAAAGTTATTTTGAAACTATTTTTCAATTCTTTTTATTGAGAACTATTAGACTACAATTTCACACTCGTATTTATATGTATATGTGTATATATATATATATATATATATATATATATATATATATCACACACACACACACACACACACACACACACACACACACACACACACACACACACACACACACACACACACACACACACACACACACTATAATCTAACAGATCTTAATAAAAGTAATTTCAAAATAATTTCAAAATAACATTTTTTTTCACAGGAAAATTAAATATCTTTAAATTTAATAAAAATAAAAATTTAGTATCAAAATTTCCTTATTCAACTCTATAGCAATAAGAACTTAATTCTGGATTGTTTCAAATTCATGCACATCTTATGATGCGGATGAAGCTGAACCAATTATTATTTGATGGAATAAAATTTGCTTTCAATGTTTTTTTGTAGAAATACTGATTAGTAGAGCCTTCAGTAGCTCTACTAATCAGTATTTCTACATATATATATATATATATATATATATATATATATATATATATATATATATATATATATATATATATATATATATATATATATATATATATATATATACTACATTTGTAAATTTCCACCAAACCTTCACTATCTTTAAATGTCCAACAAGCCTTCACATATATTTACCTATGTGGTTGCAAAAACTGTTTTGAAAATTCCTCAGTTACAAATCTTTTAATGTATACCTTTAATTGTGGTAATGACTTGAAAATTAACTTAATCACTCTAAATAATTATAGCCAGTTTTTGATAGTTCAGCTCAGTCTTTCTTTGGATCAACTTTGCTATTTACATCAAAACATAAACATTAGGATTCTAATATTTATTGTTGTCCATGAGATCTCTGCTTATATTCTCATTAAAAAAATGAACTATTAAAGCTTTTCTTATTGTTTTATTTTAATGGTGAAAATGGGTTACAAACTAGTTTTCAAACCATTTTCACTACTTATTTATAGAAAATTAATCATAAACAAACTTGCTAAAACTTTTGTTAAAATCTCATACTTTTAATATAACTTTTTTTTTCTTTTTCTTAATTTACCTCCTCAAGGCCAAGAAAGCCACTACAGACAAGGAGGCTACTTATTTGTGGTTATAACCCTTTCTCAAATTTATAACTGCAAAACACGAACCTTGACAAACAAGGCCGCTGCGCGGAGAAACAAATTGAGCGCGGTACTACCAGGGACATGGTGAATATCGAACTCAGAACCTCTTGCTTATGAAGCCAGCACTCTACCACTACACCACTACGCATGTCACGCCACCACTTCCCAAAAATCAGTCAAAATACAATAATTTTTAATCTTACTATCAAAAATCTATATAAATCGAAATGTATAATATATATACTACTGTATGTATAATATATATACCACTATATATATAATATATATACAGCTATTCTAAAAAGTTTAAGCAATGGTAAAATTTTGAGAACAATACTTTTAAATAAAAATATAACAGAAAATGATATTATAATAATCTTTTTTCCTAATTCCAAAATGTTGCACACTGTCAAACTTTAAAAAGAAACATTGGTGCAAGGATTATACAATCCAAATATTAGTAGTTAGTGAGATTTTAGTAAAGTTTTTTATTAAATTGAATTGGCCAATTAAAGATATAGTTCATCACAAGTAAAATATATGTTTTGTAATAATAAATAATAAACAGTGTAAGTGTTAAAAACAAGCAATAATAATAAATAGCCTAAGTGTTAAAAACTAACAAGTCTATATAATACGCAAACAATCTTATAATATGCGTCCAACATTTTTCGTTTTACGTGTATCAAATTTGTTATAAAATCTGTCATCATTTTAAAAGGAATATAATCAGACATTCTGACAAGCTCAAAGAAAAATTTTCTACTTTTTAGTTCGCTTGAAAAACGTTGTTTTTACAAAAAATTCATTTTTTATTGTAGATTACTTTTTACTTTTTAGATTTGTTTGTTTTTAACACTTACACTATTTATTATTTATTTGTATACTAAATTTTTGTTCAATACGCATGCTGAATTATTGGAAATATTTTTTGTCTGTTACAATTTATTTTATATAATTAGTTAGTTACATAACAAAAGAATTCAACACAAAAGAATTTAGCAGAGTTATGTAACAAAAGAATTCAGCAGAGTGACGCAACAAAAGAACTGCAAAAGTATTGAACTCATTCATTAATCATTTTGTTGAAATTGAGAGAAATATTGACTGCCAAAGCTTAAAAATTTTTAAATAGCATTGCCATTGAGTTCTGAGCTACCCTGAAAGTTTCAGAGCTCTAGCTAGTTTAGAAGTGGGTTAAATATAGCTTCAAAGATTCTAACGGGATAGACAAAAACACACACACACACACACACAAGAAAGCAAGTTTATAAACACGTTGTAAAAATTATGTTAAAACGCATTAATTTAATTGCAGGAAGTAGTTAAATAACAAAACCACAAATTAAAAGACTAGAATGTTTTTGAAAACATTCTGAATGTTTTTATTTTTATTTTTTAACTGTAAAACATGTGCGGAGTGTTGCTACATCAACTATCTTATAGCCTGATTTGCAATGGAGTGCTGCTACATTGACTGACAAACAGCCTGACTCGCAACAGAGTGCTGCTACATCGACTGAGTGTTTGGTTTGGGCAGGCAGTCTATCGAATAATTAATTTTTTTTTTTTTTTCTGGTCTATAAAATAAAAAAAAATTTGAAGCTGACTTTTTTTGGTAAAAACTTAAAGACGACCAAGCAAGAATATATATATATATATATATATATATATATATATATATATATATATATATATATATATATATATATATATATACATATATATATATATATATATATATATATATATATATATATATATATATATATATATATATATATATATATATATATATATATATATATATATATATATAGAGAGAGAGAGAGAGAGAGAGAGAGAAAGAAAAAAAATTTAAAACCTAAAGAAAAAAGAAAAAAGAAAAAATAGGCTTTAAAATAAAACTCAAAAACCTCGAAGTGAAATTTATATCTGTTATATTTTTAACTACAATTGAAAATACATATCTTTTGAAACATTAAAGTTACACAAAGCAATTTTACAAATTACTTCTAATGATTATTTAATAAATGAACAAATTTTATTAAAATTATTGAAAAGTGAAACTAAATAATTGAAAAGAAAAAACATGATAATTTTAAGTTGTAAAAACATTTTTTTTTTAAAGTTAAAAAAAAAAATGTTTTTTTTAAAAAAAAAAAAAAATTGTTAAAAAAAAAAATCTTTGTAAAATAGTAATTTTAAATTGCTTTGATTAAGTAAAGTTGAAAAAAAAGGATTTCTATGTAAAAATAGAAACAAACAAACAAACAAAAAAGCAGTTAAATCATATCATTGCAATGGGAAGATTTATTTTAACTTATAATTTTAAAAAAGTCACTTTAATCTTTTTAAAGATTTTTAGAAAGACATGGAAAAATAGTTTTATACATTATTATAAGATATAAAAGATTTTTATTCTATAACTTTTTGTACTTTATGTACAAAAAGTTAAAGAATACAAACTCATGTGCGACTCTATCTTGGACAAGGATGACTTCAAATGATTAGATCTTAATAAAAAAATATGAAGCTACAGCGAAATTCTAGAATTTCTATTTTCAAAGAGCAGCTCAATAATAAAAATTTCCAACTAAGAGATGATTACAAGGAATGCACAGAACTTATGTTAATACTATTTAGAGAAATTCTAGATAGAGGTGTACATTGGCGCAAGTCTGGGGCCTTTCATCATGCAAGATGGATGTTGTCAGTGATATATGCTGCTAAAGTGTACCTAAAGAGATTCTATGGGTTATAATGAGGTATCTACTGGGAAGCTGATAGATATGTCTTTTTAATGATCTTGTTTATGTCAAGTACTGGTTAACATGCCTCCTTGGAGTTGATGCTCCTTTTAATAACTTTTCAATGAGTTGCAGGACTTCAATGTCATCACCAAGGAAATATCAGAAAGCCCCTCAAGAATATTTAAAAATAATTTTTGTTATTTAACCAAGGAGATTGCAGTTTTTTCATTGTTTTCAAAAACGTTGTCTGACAATGAAAAAAAGAATCTTGTTAAGAAACTCCAATCCTACCAATGTGGTAAGCTGAAAAAACATACACCAACCTTTCCTGTAGTGACAAAAAATACAAAAATTCCATCATTGATTATACAAAACTCTTGGCTTCTGTTTGAAACCCTTGGTGTGAACACTGAGTGGCTAAAAAGTTCCATGCAAACATAGGAGGAGAACAAAGACTTAAAGCAATGAACTTTTAAAAAAATATTAAACTTGTTAATGATGTTGCTAAGGGTGGTGTAAATTGATGCAAGACTTTTGATTGTCTCTCACAAAATATAGATAAAGCAAACAAGATGTGTTACAAGTATTTGAAACCAAAGAAAGTGTTATACCGATCTCAGAATAGCAACTTTGAATAATCGTTAAATAAACTTTTACTGATGTTACTTTTTCCTATTTAAATCAATTTGTAATAGCTTTGAGTATCCCTTCATATTCAAATGTATACTAAGTTAGAGAATGTGTTGTTGTTTTTTTAATGACATTAACTTTGATATTTACTCAATATAAGAAACACCAATAATACTATATGAGAAATACCAATAAACATGAAAAATTAGTAATATTTATGATATTTATTTTTGTTGTTATATAAAATTTATTATTATTGTATATTAAACTTGTTATGATTTTTTGCCCAAACATACCCATATTAAACTTGATATGATTTTTTATCATGACTCTCTGGCATGATCATGGCTATGATTTTATTTTTCTGAACATATATGTAAAATAAAACATAATACTGAAT